ATTTGTTGTTTTATTGAAAATGATGTTTGTTATCATAATCAAACTGTACCTAACTTACGTTAGATAAAGTTAATTGTATAAGTAATGACGCTATTCATTTATAGTTGGTATCATGACATGGATGTCCTTATACTAAGCCCAGTTTAAGTTTTATGTTATATATATATATATATATATATATATATATATATATATATATATATATATATATATATATATATATATACACTGTCTGTGTTTAGAAGTGTTGTAAGACTCTCTCAGATCAATACAGTACATGAGACACCAATTATACAATAATAATTACATAAAAGGATGAATACAGTACAGTGTGTATATTTGTAAGTAGTATTCTGCTCCGTGACGCTTCCCGTGAGCCACACCTGTTTACTTACCACCATTAGCTAATGAGTGAAAACCATTAATTACATAAAGTGAGACCAGAAGCTCACGTCATGACTAATATAGTAACGCATGGAGGAAATGTGGTCATATTCTCATTATTATTATTTGTAGTTGTAGTAGTAGTAATAGTAGTGGTAGTAGTGACAGTAGTAGTAATAGTAGTGTGCAGAAAGGGATACAATTGTCGAAACCCACAAGGCAGGGAGCCGATACAGGGGGCCGGGACCCAACCTTCCAATGGTATCCTAATTGATAGCAGTGAGTCTACTCAGTCTGAAAATATTGTACTAATAAACGTTCCTCCAATAGTAGCAGATGTCTACGAGGTGAATCAGAGACAGCCACTACAGTGGAATGGCATGTGGATGGAAAATGCTGACAAATGGGTTAAAGAAAGTTACTCAGAAATTGGCAGGTGGTCGCCAGCTAACCTGTTTGAACTACCCAAGTGTGCGGCCCCCAAAGAAATGATTCGGGAGATGATTCGCCTCATAACTGAGTACACTCAGGACTGCTTCCTTGTCCCTTTGGCTCTTCAAATACTGGCAATAATACCACATCTATTCTGTCAGAGGACACACACAAAGACTAAGCACAAAGAAAATGCGGCAGCAATGAAGAGAAAATTTACAATGTGGCAGAATAGGGCCCTTGATGATCTCCTATGTGAAGCAAGAACACTGCAAGAGAGACTAAAATTTATAGGAGACGGAAAGCAAAACACCGATAACGTTGCAAGAAAGTTTGGAAACAAAATGCGTGTGGGAAAAGTGTCTTTCGCGGCAAGATCTCTCACAAAGGAATTATCCGGTGGGAGTCTGCCAATAAACAGAGAGACATTAAAACAACTGAAAGAAAAACATTCCCTTGCAAGTGAAGACGAAGGCATCAGGTTCCAGGGTGGCTATATCCCACCAAATGCTGTCCTGTTCGAGAAAATAACAGGAGTAATGGTGTGGAAGAAGCCACTGAAGACTCAGGGAGGTGCCGGCCCTTCAGATCTGGATGCAACCGGTTGGAGAGTCATCCTCAGCACTAACAAGTTTGGCCCCGTAGCAAGTGATCTCTGCACGGCCATTGCCGTCTTTGCAAGAAGGCTGGCATCCTCGTGCTGCCAACACCTCTATGCTTTGACGACCTGCCGCTTCATTCCCCTGGATAAGAATCCAGGATGTAGGCCTATACGAAGGGGGGGGGGTAAGTGCTGAGGCGGATCATCGGAAAATGCATAATGGAGGTGGTAAAGGATGATGTCAGGGCAGCAGCAGGGAACCTGCAAGTTTGTGCTGGCCACCAGCACCATTCACGCCATGATAACGAAATTTGAGCAGCGTGATTGTGAGGCCGTTCTCCTGGTGGACGATTCAAACGCATTCAACATACTTAACCGCAAGGAAGCACTGCACAGCATTAAGGTCAAGTGTCCAAGCTTTGCAATGTATGTTGAAAACTCCTATAGGAATCCATCAGACCTTTATATAGTAAACACCAAGGCTCTAAGAGGTGATACCATCATATAGTCAACTGAAGAAACAACGCAGGGGACCCTGTTGCAATGGCAATGGACGCAATAGGCCTATCCGTGCTCCAACACACAATAAAATTTGAAAGAACCGAGGTCAAGCATGTGGCGTATGCTGACGACCTTACAGGAGCAGGAAAAGTGGAGGACATCAAAAAGTGGTGGGACCTGGTAACATCACGAGGTCCACAAATAGGGTACCACCCAAATGCCATTAAGTCCTTCCTCATTGTGAAGCCAGAACATTATGAACGGGCAATGGAAGTGAGGTCAAAATTACAAAGGGTGGCCAAAGACACCTAGGAGCAGTAATCGGCAAGACGTAACGGGAAAGGTGAATGAGCGGGTTAGGGAAATCCAAGCTATGTCTGATATTGCTAATATAAAGCCACATGCGGCTTTTGCTGCATTCACCCATGGAGTCAAGCATCGCTGGAACTACCTGATGCGCACTATCCCTGATATCGGACCCCTCCTCCGCCCCATGGAAGAATCTATCAGCGTCATTTTCATTTCCAAAATAACGAAACATCTTCATTTAACTCCTGCAGACAGATCACTCCTTGCACTACGACTGAGACTGGGAGGAATGGGATTGACCAATCCAGAGGAGATTGCTGTCACGGAACATCAAAACTCAGTTAAGCTCACGGCAGCCCTCACTGACCACATAATAGCTCAGAACGCAACAGGTGAAGTGGATACCAGCGAAGTAAACAAGATTCGACGGTCCATTACGACAGAACGACACCACGGACACAGTGATAAGTTGCAGCAACTGATGCTGCAAGTTCCAGAGAATGTGAAAAAAAAACGTAGCTATAGCGCTGGAGGTGGGCGCCTCGAACTGGTTAACTATGTTACCGATAAGGGCAAATTGTTTCAATCTCAAAAAACAAGAATTTACAGATGCCATTGCTCTAAGGTACGGGAGGCCAGTAGAAGTTTTGCCCTCCCAATGCGTGTGTGGCTCTTCCTATGACGTCGATCACGCCATGGTGTGCAAGAAAGGGGGCTTCATATGCATGAGGCATGACGAAGTAAGGGATCTCACAGCAAATATGTTGAAGGAAATCTGTCGTGATGTCAGGGTAGAACTGACCTACCTTCCATTGGACGGTGAGAATTTCCAACCTAGAATTGCAAACACATCCAACGAAGCACGTGCTGACGTCAGTGCTCGAGGATTATGGACGCCGGGACAGCGAGCCTTCTTCGACATCAAGATTTTTTATCCCATTGCCGCATGTCACAGTAACTTAGCTCTCGATGCTGCACACAAGAGGAACGAGAACGACAAGATAAGAGAGTACGGGGAGAGAATTCAGAACGTTCATCAAGGCAACTTCACTCCTTTGTTGTTCACAACCTCTGGTGAGATGGGCCCAAGTGCAACATGCTTCTACGCCAGACTCGCGGAGGTGCTTTCCGAACAGAAGCAGCAGCCCAGGAGTTATGTTACTGCCTGGATGAGATGTCGACTGTCCTTCTCTCTCCTTAGGTCTGCTTTGCTCTGCCTTAGGGGAACGAGAGCATCGGCCCCAAAGCCGACAAAAGTTGCAGATATCGACTATGAGGCAACAGTCACTGAATGCTGCATAGATCTGCTGCTCAACTAACTCAACACAGCTAGGATAGCTACTTATGTATTAGGATATTTAATTTTAAGGTAATAAAATGGCGGGGAAGGTGTGGTTATTGGGGGAGGCTGGGATAGCTACTTATGTATTAGGATATTTAATATTAAGGTAATAATATGGTGGCGAAGGTATGGCTATTGGGGGAGGCTGAAGGCCATTAAAAAAAATTAGTAGTAGTAAAAGAAGTGAAAAGAAAAGTAGCTATAGCACAGGAGGTGGGCGCCTCAAACTGGATAACAACGTTACCGATAAGGGCAAAAGGTTTCATCCTTAATAAACAAGAATTCACAGATGCCATTGCTCGAAGGTACGATAGGCCAGAAGAAGGTTTGCCCTCCCAATGCGTGTGCGGCTCACCTAATGACATCGACCACGCCATGGTGTGCAAGAAAGGGGGCTTCGTATGTATGAGGCATGGCGAAGTAAGGGATCTAACAACAAATCTACTGAGGGAAATCTGCCACGACGTCATGGTGGAACCGCCCCTCCTTCCATTGGACGGTAAGAACCTCCGTCACAGGACTTCAAACACATCCAACGAAACCCGTGTGGACGTCAGTTCTCGAGGATTCTGGACACGGGGACAGCGAGCCTTCTTTGACATAAGGATTTTCTGTACCGCACACAAGAGAAACGAGAATGACAAGATCAAGGCCTATGGGGAGAAATTCAGAATGTTAATAAAGGCAACCTCACTCCTCTGGTGTTCACAACCTCTGACGGGATGGGACCAAGTACAAGATGTGTTTTTTGCAAGACTGGCCGAGGTGTTATTTAAACAGATGAAGCAGCCCAGAAGTTACGTTACTTTACTTCAGGGGAACGAAATCTTCGGCCCAAAGCCGACAACTGTCGCAGATATTGACTTTGAGGCAACAGTCATTGAATGCCGCATAGATCTGCGGATCAACTAACTCAACACAGCTAGGGTAGCTACTTTTGTAAGAGGATATTAATATTAACCCTTTCACAGCGGGAAGTTACCCTTAGCTGAATAAAATCGTTTGGCGGGAGCATGAATAAAATGGCAAGTGCCTAACACGCGTTTAAAGGGTTAATCGAGTTAGGTTTTAACCCTTTCACAGCGGGAAGTTACCCTAAGCTAAATAAAATCGTCTGGCGATAGCCAGAATAAAATGACAAGTGCGTGACACGCCGTGAAAAGGTTAAGATAATATAATGGTAGCGAAGGTGTGGCTATTGGAGGAGGCTGAAGGAGTAGTAGTATTAAATACAATCGTAAGTTTGTTGTGAAAACACTGCATCAGTACCTGTCCTTTCACATGTTTCTGTATTTGTACTAGTACCTTTACAAGTATATACACCAGTAACTGTACCAATACTTTTATTTGCACATGTATTTTGAACCTGTATCTTTTTGTCCTCAATAAAACATAAATCAACCCACACCGTCTCCGGCGATGGTGACTCACCGAACACGTTGAGGCGGACGACGTAGCTCCTCACGGGTTTGGTGGACAGCTGGCACTCGTAATTACCGGAGTCGCGCACCTGAGCGTAACTGATCTTGAGGATCCAATCTTGGGAGCCCGGGGAGTGGATCACCTCGAAGCGTTGATCCGTCGTGTAGGTATAGCGGCCCACTGTCAGGATGTGTAGGTCTCTCTGCCTGATCCACGACACCTGTGTGAGAGACAGAGAGATGGTGATTAGACAGGGAGAGTTTACTGTCTCTCTGTTTAATCTACAATACCTATGAGAAAGACAGGGAGATGGTGGTGAGACTAAATATTGTGAGATACAAAAATTTCTCATATAACTTTAAAATTTCATACATTTTCACCAATAAAAACAAAGAAACATCAAAACCCCCTAAAATATAAAATCCTGAAGCTACATTTCCAACCAAAGGGAAGAGTAAAGCGGTGTTTGCGTCGGACCGTCAAAGATAAACACAACACGACAAAGACGACGGGTTTCGGAGATAGAGACAAAGACGGGCAGTAAGGGAGGGTGTTGACACAAGTTATCGCCATTCAGCTCTCAGGAGGATTCTTATGCTGGTCTGACTCTAACCTACAGTCGCTACCCCCCCCCCCAACCTTTCGGTATGTGGAGATGGTGGTGCAGAACCAGGGAAATGGTAAAGACAAAGGGACATTGAAAGATGGTAGAGAGAGATAATAGGAAGATGTAGAGAGACAGAGATGTAAAGGGAGATACAGAAATGTAAAGACATACACGAAAAGAAAGAGAAACACACACACACTCACTCTCTCTCTTGTGTCCCTCCACGTCAGTTGACAGCTTGGCCTTAGTGTGACTACAGGTAACATTGCCATTAACGCCTCGTCATTGTCCGCAACAATATGCAGATTATGGACACCAGCTGATCTGAGGTGAGATCCCTATTACTGCTGTTAGTATTCTCTCTCTCTCTCTCTCTCTCTCTCTCTCTCTCTCTCTCTCTCTCTCTCTCCTCTCTCTCTCCTCTCCAGGATCGTGTTGCTCACCCACGGACAGACACACACACACACACACACACACACACACACACACACACACACACACACACACACACACACACACACACACACACACACAGACAGACAGGCAAACAGTTAGACATATAGAACATAACAAAACAATCCACAGTCATATAAGAAACAACAAAGAGGGCAGATTGACGAGGAGGAGGACGAAGAAGAGGATAAAAAGGGAAGAAGCAAACACAGGAAGAAGACTGAGAGCGTAGGAGGAATGGCAGGCTGGCGTTTATTGGACAAGCTGCTGATGGGTGGGATGAGTGGTGAGTGGAGTGGGTGGGTGAGAGGGAGGAAGTGTTTATGGGTGGGTGGGATGAGTGATGAGTGGAGCAGGTGGGAGGGTGGGTGAGGGAGGAAGTGTTTACGGGTGGGTGGGTGGGTGTATACTATATAAGACAATATATAGCTCAGTGTATACTATATTATACAATATATAGCTCAGTGTATTCTATATAATGCAATATATAACTCAGTGTATACTATATAATACAATATATAGCTCAGTTTATACTATATAATACAAAACATAGCTCAGTGTATACTATATTATACAAAATATAGCTCAGTGTATACTATATAATACAATATATAGCTCAGTGTATACTATATAATACAATATATAGCTCAGTGTATACTATATAATACAATATATAGCTCAGTGTATACTATACACAGTACAGTTAATCCTCAAGGCTTCTCCTACCCCACGAATTTCCTATGCGGAGATTACTCAAGCGAATCTGCTGACATTAAACCCCATGAGAGTGACCTGTGATGACCTGCCTGGCTGGTCATGGGAGGAGAAGGGAGTGATGAGAGAATACGTGAGAAATCTCTCTCTCTCTCTCTCTCTCTCTCTCTCTCTCTCTCTCTCTCTCTCTCTCCTGCTGTAGCGGGATCACGCGAAGGTGGTACTCGAGACATCAAGTACCTCGAGTGGGATATTAGGAGATGTAGTTATATGCAGATGAACCTTCAGTGCTGACTTAATCTTCCAGTGTGTGTATCCTGACTGTGTGATGATGAGAGAGGCGAGGGAAGCCAGAGAGAGAGAGAGAGAATGTGTGTGTGTGTGTGTGTTTGTGTAATGAGACAGACTCTTGGAGACCAGAGACAGAGACACAGACAGACATGCAGACAGACAGATCGACAGACAAAAATGATAAATCGTAACCACATCCAGTGAATGAATTCACTAAGATTGAGTTTACATATATATCTCCACATTAACACAAGCCAGTATTTCTCTGGCTAACACAATGCTCTTAAATGTCGAATCTTAGGTAAAAGAGAGAACTACAGGGGAGTGTGTTAAGTGAAGACATCAAAGAGGTGATAAGGGGAGGAAGAACACCTTTCATGTGGCTTAATTCAATTTGTATTTCTTTTTCTTTCCGTTTTCTTCCTACAAACTCTAACACCTGGTCACTGCTCTAAAGTGAACCTGTCATATCAACGTATTTTATCGAGTTAATTTTGTCTATATATCTACATATTAATTTATAAAGGAAGGAGAGGACAGAAAGTTGGTCTATTAATTTATCAGTTTATCAATATGTATGTACTAGCACAATCGCTCATCCGCTAGGCAACAGTAGGACGCCACCCTCCGGGAGGCTCCACATTGTCTCACTGTTCAGTCCCCAAAAATTCTTCTTCCATCAATAGTTCATTATATAGATAAATTGTCTAATCATCACTACATATAACAACATCCTTCATCACTATATATAACATCATCCATAATCACTACATATAACACCATCCATCATCACTACATATAACACCATCCATCATCACTACATATAACACCATCCATCATCACTACATATAGCACCATCCATCATCACTACAGATCGGTAAAGTAGTTTCCGAGATTCTCGTGCGGAAACACACACACACACAAACACACACGGTAGGACGCCACCCTCCGGGAGGCTCCACATTGTCTCACTGTAGTGCATTAGGGTCAACCACATTTTTGGTTTTGCCATTAGGAGCAAGTATGTACAGATTTTTGCCAGTTCCCACTCTGGAGCATCCAACATAGAACTGTCCATGAGAGAAGCAAGGAAACACCAGGTTTAGGCCAACCATCTTTAGGGGCTGTCCCTGGCTTTTGTAGATGGACATGGCAAAGCTCACTTTAACCAGGAACTGAAGTCGCTTGAACTCAAATGGCAGGTCAGTGGTGAGAAGAGGTATCCTTGGTATAAACACGTCCTCTCCTTTAGCATTTCCTGTCAGTATTGTAGCTTCCAATACATGTGGCATCATGTTCTTCACCACCAGTCTTGTGCCATTGCAGAGGATTGGTGGTTCAAGATTTCTTAAGAGCATTATAGGAGTTCCAATCTTGATAGTGAGGTGGTGAGGAGGCATTCCAGTGGGCTCCAAGGAATTAAGGAATTCTACAGGGTACTGGACTGCTTGATCCTGGTCGATTACTGTATCAACAGACTTGAATGAGGTCTCACTGCCTGGAAGCTGTCTGAGCAGAATCTGTTGATTTCAGCCACTTTGGTGCCAGAATTGCGCGTTCACGCAGCCACTTGTGATCCTTGTAGTGGTGGATAATGTGTGGATAGACCAAGTAAGTGAGCTCAGTTGAGGACTTCACAACATTTCCACATCCTTGAGGAATGATTATTTGTCCTTCTGAATCCCCTTGTAGATGTACTCTCATGTTTGTGGATAGGGTGAGTGTCTGAATACATCTCCAAAGGTATGATGCCTTGAGGCACGCATTCACTTCGTTAGCTGGAGTGCTTCGAGAAATGACAGGTAGGGTCTGGCGAAAGTCTCCACCAATGACCATTGTAATGCCACGGTAGGACGCCACCCTCCGGGAGGCTCCACATTGTCTCACTGTAGTGCATTAGGGTAGACCACATTTTTGGTTTTGCTATTGGCAGCAAGTGTGTAAAGATTTTTTTGGCATTAAACTGTTATTATTTTATTGTCTAATCATCACTACATATAACAAAACTCATCATCACTACATATAACATCATCCATCATCACTACATATAACATCATCCATCATCACTACACATAAAACCATCCATCATCACTACATATAACACCATCCATCATCACTACATATAACACCACCCATCATCACTACATATAACAACATCCATCATCACTACATATAACATCATCCATCATCACTACATATAACACCATCCATCATCACTACATATAACACCATCCATCATCACTACAGACCGGTAATGTAGCTTCCGAGATTCTCGTGCGGACACACATACACACAAACAAACATACACACAGACATACTTCTTTGTTTTATATATATATATATATATATATATATATATATATATATATATATATATATATATATATATATATATATATATATATATATGATTAAGAACATACGAATGGAGGAAACTGCAGTGGGCCTATTGGCCCATTTAATAATTAAATGAAGAGTGAAATTGGAACCGCGTCTGTATGGGTAGAAATTGCGGAAGGAAGAGAAAAACTAATTATGGGAGTGATTTATAGGCCCCCGAGTCTTGGGAAAGAAGCAGCTCAACCCATATGGCAGGAAATGAGTAGGGCAGCAAAATACAACAGCCTGTGCATTATGGGGGATTTCAACTTCATAAATATTAACTGGAACAACATTGTAGGTGACTATGAATCTGAAGACTTCCTAAATGCAGTAAAGGACAATTTTTTTAAACAACTAATTACAGAACCTACTAGAGGTAACACTATATTAGACCTAGTATTAACAAATAGAGAAAATATTATTAGAGATATCACAATAGTGGAAGAACTAGGGAACAGTGATCACAGAGAAATCAGATTCACCCTGGCGGATTATCAGGGGTTAAGAAGGTACCTAGGTTAGGTAGCCTAGGAACAGGCAGGTCAGTCCCCAGTAGGAACGGATGAGGTCACAGGTGACACAACAATTGATCATGACTATAATATATTCACTCGTATACTACGTAAGGCACAAGAACAAAATATACCATAGAGAAAAATTTGGTCAAATAAGAATGAGCCAAGGTGGATGACCAGAAAACTTAAACATGGCATAGGAATAAAGAAAGGAATTTTTAGAAATTAAAGGGAGGGCAGGAGCAGCTCAGAAATAGG